GGCCTAAAGTCAGTACAGACTACTGATGAGCCCTTAGAGTTGACACCCCAGGTCAACTCCGACTCCTGCTGGACTCTTGGAATCCCTTGTAGAGCCCCCTGGCCCATGAGCAGCCAGACTATGCTGAATGCAGTATCGATAAGCTCATTACTTTAAATTGTAGCTCATTTATTGTAAACTACTTATTTTTTAAAAATATTAATTATTTTTATTTGATAAAATTATATATGTTTATGGTATACAACATGATTTTTTTGTGGGGGGTGTACACTGGAATTGAACTCAGGGGCATTTAACCACTGAGCCACATCCCCAGACTATTTTATTTTTTATTTTGAGACAAGGTCTCACTAAGTTGCTTAGGACCTCTCTAAGTTGCTGAGGCTGACCTTGAACTTGTGATTCTCCTACCTCAGTCTCCCTGAGCTGCTGCAATTACAGGTGTGTGCACCATACCCAGCTCATGATGTTTTGATATATATATATACATTGGAGAATGGCTAACTCCAGCTGTTTACCTACCCACAGAGAGCCTACTATCTATGAGATCTTGAGCTTTGGAGATAACTCCCATTAATTCACATACTTTTTTTGGGGGGGGGATGAGAACATTTAACATCTATTCCCTTAGCATTTTTTAATATGTAATACATTATTATTAACTAGTCCCCATGTTCTATAAAAGATACACTGCACTTTTATTTCTCTTCAATGAAATTGTGTTCCCTATGTCCAACATCTTTCCCCCACCCCTACCCCCGCCCCAGCCCCTGGCAACCACCATTCTCTTCTCTGCTTCTGTGAGTTCAGTGTTTCATATTCCACATGTGAGGGAGATAACATCGTGTTTGTCTGGCTTTTTCCCCTTAGCGTAATGTCTTCCAAGTTCATCCATGAAGTTCAAATGGTGAAGTTCCCTCTTTGTTGACTGGATATGTTCCATGGAATATGTACACCACATTTTCTTTACTCCTTCTTCCGTTGAAACACACAGTTGTTTCCATATCTTGGTTATTAGGAATAGTGTTGCCATGGACATGGGGGTACAGATGTCTCTTCAACAAATTGACTGGATTCTCTTTGGTTGTATACCCAGTAGAAGGACTGCTGGGCCATCTGGTAGTCTTATTTTTAATTTTTTTGGAGTCCCTTCCATACTATTTGCCACAACAGCTATATCAATTTATATGTATAAAGGTGAGTTGATTTCAAGAAGTTCTATCTTGTGGTGAACTGGAATCTGCACTCCCATAGTTTGCAATCCCTGTCCTAAGTTTGCCTACTGGAGTTTTGAAGAATTCAGTTAATATTCAGATTTCACTAATACGAGGTGCCAAGCACTGTGCTAGCCTCATTTACATGCTACTTTATTAATCCTTACAACAGGTTTGTGAGGAAGTAATGGTTTCACTTTTGGAAATGGGGACAGCTCAAAAGAGGCGATGAGCCTTAGTAACGGAAGTTTATTGAGCAGCTATTATGTGACAGGTACTATTCCAACCACTTTAGAAGTGTTTACTCAGAACCACTTAGGTAGGTAAAATTGTTCTTATTTTCTGAGGACAGGAATTGCAGGGAGGATGAAAACCCAGCCTGAGGTTCCCCGGTAAGTTCAGAGATGAAATTCAAATTCAAGGGGTGTGGTGAGTGCAGGGTCCATACCGTTCACTATGAAGCTGCCTCTGCAACACACACCAGTAAACTGCAAGGACTACCCTTCCCTTCCTCCTTAATAGTCCTTAGATTTTTGAAGGCAGCAACATTATTCCCTGACTTCCTTTCTCCAAGTCACTCACCCTCAGCCTCTTCCTTCATTCTTCATGACATGGCTTCCAAACGAGGTCAAGGTCATCCTTCCCTGGCTGCTATTTGCTCCTCTTAAAGTCAAGGGGATCAGGTGGTCCAGGGCAGAGTGCAGCAGGACAGTGACATCCTCTCTCCACTCTATGTACATGTTGTGTGCAGTCCCACACCCTGTGCGGGTGCCTGCACCGAACTGGCGGTGTGCGTTCAGAAAGAACCTCCTTTCCTATCACTTCAGGTGTCGGAAATCATCGAGTACATTTACTTCCACATGTACCACATCACAGAGTCCACCACCCAAAGCACCATCAGGAGGATCCTTTACCTGCTGGTCCAGTCCTACACCGATGAGGTTATCCTGACGCTGTTTAAGATTATGGATGAGTCACAAAAGTAAGTGTCAAACACTGCAGTGTTCAGATGTTCACATCTTTTACCTATTTTTCCCCCTCCCCTCTCTTTTTGGTACAGGGATTGAGCCCAGGGGTGCTCAACCATTGAGCCACACCCCCAGACTTTTTTATATTTTATTTAGAAAAAGAATCTCACTGAGTTGCTTAGGACCTCGCTAAGTTGCTGAGGCTGGGTTTGAATTTGCAATCCCCCTGCCTCAGCCTCCTGAGCTGCTGGGATTATAGGCATGCACCACTGTGCCCAGGTCCTTTACCCATTTCTCAACTTTTTTTTAAAATTAAATTATTTATTTTTTCTAATTTGTTATTTTTTTTCTTATTAAT